CCTATTGAAAAAGACATGAAAAAAAAAGAGTTTAAAAACCAGTGAACAGGAGTAACAACAGAAATTATCATACTGGAAAAAGCAGAAAAATAAGCATGGTGAATCTCGCTTTTCATTCAAAAGTCCTGTTCTGATTAGCAGTACAGAGTATAAAGTCATAGCATAGATGAAGGATTTTGAGTTTTTCAGTAAATCTGTGAAAGGTAGAGCAGACCAAGTTTTACGCGCAAATACAGGCATTTGACATCAGAAGAGCAAGGAGCAATTACTTATGTGACAACCATAGTGCATAGGGTGAAGAAATACGTTAATACATTTCCTTTAAATTTGTACCATCATCAGAAACATTTCAAAAGACACAGTTGTGATTTTTCATACTTTTGTTTTATTGTCTGTACACAAAGTTTAAGATACATTTATACTCTCATTCTTACCTTCAAAAGCCAAAACAGAAGGTCATAGTTAAACGGGCAAGCTATGAAACCATCAGATTTTACAACAGACAGAAATTCCTAGCTTTTACTTCCTCAGATTTCCTCAGATCAGGTTGTAAATTTATAGATCTAAAGAAATGACACTCAGGAAATAACACATCAGCAATCCCGGCATGCTTAAGAGAGTTGCTGGATCCATTTATTGCAGAAGAGTTTCATAAAGATGAAGGCCTGAAGAGACCATTGTATTATCTATGTTCATCTTCTGTTTCTTACAGAACATCTGTAACATTTCATTGCTCAGCCTATAATAAGCCTCATAATTAGGCTACAGTGTTCTAATACAGAAAAAAACCTGAGCCGCTATATATGCGGCAGACGACCACAAAGGCCAAGTCATATGCAACACTAATTATTGGCAAGACTATACTTCATGATTCCACCAAGCAATTTATACTGTTATTGCATATGATTTCCTCTGCAGTACTCTCATAATCAATTTAATTTTAAGCGCTTTAACAAAGGCTAGCAACCAAATGTTTATGAAAGACAGTTTCCTATATCACTTCAAACAGCCACAAGCATGATTTGAACACTGTAAAACATGCAACTCTGGGACATTTAAATCCTATTTATTTAGTTCCAAGTCAAAGATAAATTAACAGCAGTTTATGTTGCCTTAAAGCATCCCATATAGAGGAGTAGATATGAAGACTTCTAATGGAGTTAGGTAATCTTTAACAGTTCAAAAATAGGAAGTTGATGCTTCAGTTCTAAACTGGGAAGAAAAAGGAATTCAGATGAATTCTTAATAAAAACATAAGTGGCTGCTAGGAAAACTAAACCAAGGGGTTCCTTACACTTCACTCAGGTTTGGCTTTGTTTAAAGGTAAGACCAAATGTCCAAAAGATACAAAACACAATAACACTCACTGAAGTAACAGGAAAAACATTGGTGACATTTTAACCCTCAATACTAAAATCTACTAGCAAGACAAGAAAAAAAAAAGTATGGAGAAAATAAGTAGCAGGAATATTGCATCACTGCAAACAAAAGAAATACTCAGAAAAGCTTAAGCAAGAACATAGTACTTGTAGCATGACATTACAAACTTGTTTTGTGAACTACATAACCTCTGCTATCTGTGCATTCTCACGTACTTCTCTGTCAGCCTATGTCAGTAAAGTACTTCACTCTTTCTGTTTTGGGATCCTCCTGCTTTCCAACTCACCAGGACTACTTGCTCTTGGTTGTTTTGGATGAAGTCCCAATGAAATAACAACGCCCTTAAGTTGAGCCTCATAGAGTTCAAGAAGCAACAGGTGCTCAAGGGAACCTTCAACCTGGGTCCCTAGCACAGCCCCTGACAGTGCACGATTTTTTTCCCCAAACGGGAAAATGGAATTGAGATACAGCCAGCCTGAATGAAGAGCAAGAAAGCAACCTGTTCCCAGACAAGAACTTCCTTAACTTATATTTTTGGGTTTTTCCTTAATGCTGCAGAAGTGCCCCTGAAGTTAGGCTGATCACATCCTGATGGGATTTGCTTAACCTACTTCCTATTACCCTGGGTGCCTCGCAGAAGCTGTCTTGATCAAACCCAGAGCTCTGATTTTTTAAATTTTTTTTAATTCCATGGCAGTAAAGGAATCCCCATTGTAAAAAACAAAAACAAAACAAAAAAAAAGAACCAAAAGACCACCACCCCCCCAAAAAATAAAAAAAAAAAACTGTACACCTGTATGACTATATTTTACTACTACTTCTTTACTTTAGAACTGTAAAATCACTTAAAGAATGAGGTAGTGGGCTTGGGGTTTTTTAAACAAAGATACATTTGTCATAAAAAGTGCTCATCCCCAATCTACGAATTCAGGTCATGCTTATCAAAAGCTTGAACTTGAAATAAGCCTGTGAATAAGATGCACAAAACTAAATGAAATTAGAGGAGACAGTGATGATGTTCTTCCCGTTTACCTAACAGACTGGTGGTCAAAGGATGATAGAGGAACCCTTACCAAAATCATCACTACTTCACTACTGTCTTCATGATTTTTTAACTAAGTCCTACAAGTTTGGTTTTCCTTACAAATCCCAAAACATGTTTTGTTCTGCATTGAATTAAATATTTAGTGCAAAGCAAAAGGATTTTTTCTTTTTTTTTTTTAAATTTTTCCTCTCTGTTAAAAAACTCCAAGACCTTTTGGTTCAACCAAAACAAAGCATTCCCTCCCCCCCAATCTCTTTGCACTGAATCTGTACTTGACTGCTGAATCAAAGGTATTAAAAAAAAAAAAAAAACAAAAAAAAAACCAAACAAAAAAACCCCACACCACCAAACCAAAACCACCCCCACCACATATGGACCATACACTTTTAATTTTAAAATCAAAAATGCTACACCTCTCTTAAGTCAGCCTTTTTTCATGTACTGTTTTGACTTCTGAAATGCTAAAACCCCTTGCCTAACAAAGAGATGTTTGATTCTCTCTCAAGCTAGCAACTCCTTTCTTCTTACATTCACATTTCTTTTGTTGTCTCTCCTCTTTCTTCACTCTTCTGCTTCTAACTCCCTTTTAGATTAGCACGATTTGGTTTTCACTCCATTTTTTCCACAAGAAGGCTGCTTTAATAAAAAGGAGCCAGTGTCGTCCTAGTGAGAGACTCTTAAGGCAGCTTCTTCACTTGTACTGTCCCCAATCTTTTTTTTCCTTCCACAACTTACCATTTCCTTTTCATAGGCACTCCTCCCATTCATCTTCTGTTTAGTTTCAAGATCTGTGTACTTTCCTGAAGTACCTCTTACATCCCTAGTTTTCTTTCCTTTCTTACTTTCCATATGCCTTGTTTAAGCTTGCATTTTTTGGCCACTACTTCTTTTCCCACTATATTCTACTTCTAGATCATTTCATCATCACTAATACAATTAAGTATTTAAAGCTATTCCCGTAGCCATTCTCATAGCTTTAAATACTTCACTCTCCCCTTCTTCTCATTCTGGAGTCTCAAAAGAAAAAAAAAAAAACAAAAACAAATGCCTTTAGTTGTTCTTACCATTTTTCATCACAATTCTCTCATTAAACCCTACCTGTGAGAATTTACTGTAAAGCATATACTTTACAATTTACAAAACCACACCCAACTGATATATTGCATTGTATTGAGAACTTTACAACCTGGACAGAATGCATAAAGCTATTCCTTGCCTTCCAATGAACACTTTAATTTTCAAAACAGCCCATGCTAAGTCACAACAAACTACTACAATAAAAAATGTTTTTAACTATAGCACTCTGTCAACATGCATTTGAGTTTTTCTGCTTGAAGACTGATGATATGCGCTCCCTTTCGCTCACTGGTGTCTCATTCTTGCTGATACCACAACATTGCAAAATAAAGACTCATCTACTTTGGCCAACATTAATTTTAAACATTCAGTTTCAAGTGTTTGGAGTACATAGAGTTTGTTTACAAGAGGTTACAATGTTACAAGTCATTTTAATCCTCATGCCTTAAAAGAAACACAACATTCATTCTAACAAACTCAGTTTAAAACCCCACCCTAACCTCTGTGATACTTAGTTTGTCATTCTTAAATCAGCGAGAACACTCTAAACAGTATGCTGGGAACACAACCTGGCAGACAGTTGAAACTGTATCCACTGTCAATTTTGGAAAATCTAATTACTTTTTTTCAATAATTTTCTCATAATTTGGACTGGTCCAAAGATCACTAATTTGGAAAAGGAAGGGGAAAAAAAAAAGAAGAAATCAAAGGTATTACAGTTTAAAGGAAGATCACTTGCTTTTTAATTAAGTTTGTTCTATTTCACACTTTTAAACCTTAACAAAATTGATTAATAGTTTCTTTATTCATCCTGATAATCCTATGCAGAGTCTTAAAATACCTAAGACTGTTTTGCTTGTTTTATTGGTTTTCTCCTATTTGTCTGCACGTTGAACCTTGTTACAAAATAGACTATAGATTTTTTTTAGGATGAGTTAGTTTGTTGGGTTTTTTGTTTGTGTTTAACTGTGTCTGGATAACACCAAATCTAAATAAGGTATGGCCTTAATCTCTGACTCAATTCTGCATAACAACTAACAACAGAAAAACAACTATCTTATTTTTAAACTAAGATCATACAAAAGATTGAAGAAATTGTTTTACCTTCCATTTCTTCCATAGGCACCTAAATCCTCAAAAATCTTGTGTGTATACACAAGATGTCTTCTAAAAATGCTACCCTTAATTATACTACTTACAAAATTATGCACACAATTAACCAGAAAGGAAACTAAACACAATATGAAACACTGATATAAAGGAAAAGAAACAAATCAAAAAAGCATATAGACAATCAGAGTGTACCAGGGTATTTACAACTCAGTATCACGTTAACTTGGCAATGAGGTTTTAACAGACCAGAAACAGTCTGCATGTAACTTACTTGCCCCTGGCATAAGAGACACACCCGAATTTGAAATAAAGATAGCAGCTATCTCAGCAAGATGGCACATCACTGTTACATGAAGTTGAGCTATGAAGTCCTTAGAATACTTACCACTAAATCCCAGTTATTTTGTTCAAGCAACGTTATAGCTTCATCAATATTTTCAATACCAGTACATGCCTAAAAAGAAAAAGAAGCAGCAACAGAATTAAAAGCATTGATCAAAATCAGAGTATTAATACTTAAAATGTAATTCATTTCAGCAGAACAACAGGAAAGGTCTTTCATTTCTGTTAGGAGAGAGTATTCCAGAAATCAGGTTTCAAGATTTAAACTTCAAACATTTGGATATAATTCCCTGTTCCACCAGAGGATTCTTGTGTAACCTTGAGCAAGGCACCTACAGAAGCAAGACAAAGTAGTTATTTGTAAAATTAGGACAATAGTGCTGTCCCATAAAGGTGTTTTGAGAATTCTATGTTCAAAATTATGAAAGACTCATACTGCCTTAAAAGGGAGCACAAAAAGACTTAAAATTATATTTGAGATGGCAGAAATATTTAGGCTAAAGCCAGAAACATATATATAAACCCTACTGCCTCCACCATCATCTTCTACACCTAAACATTCTGGGTGTTACACAGCGCAGTGTAAGAGGAAAATAAGGTGGCGAGTATGAATTTTTGATCATCCAAGTGCCAGCTTACTACAGCATGTACAAACGAGCACCCCTTGTGAAACTATTTAAAATGAAGACCACATAATGAAACATTTACAATGTTTTCCTTTCAGACAGAATGCTTGCATGTTGTTCTAGCCCTATACGCTGCCTTTACCTAGTTCAAGAAATCTAATACAATAGCATTTTTGAAGTAGTGATAATGTCCCACAAAATGGTATTGTAAATTGAGCTTAATTCCAAATGCAAGAGAGCACCTCTACTCAGAAAAAAATCCTTGATGCAGCATCCTGCATTCTTTTTTTGATACCCATACCTTTTCAACCATTCAACTTCAGCAGGCAGAGCATGGCTATTCATTCTGCCACATATTTGCTACCATTCATATTGAAGGATATCAGATATATTTCACCAGAGGGGAAAAATGGAAACAGTTAAGTTTCTTTCTGGAATTTATCTTTCATCCTAATCAAAGCTATGCTCTGTATTCAAGCACACAAGATAAGTTCAGACTTTTACAAGATCTGAAATATGATCAGGTTCCTTCTGCTCCACCACACAGTTATATAAAAAAGAAGTTTATATAAACTAATTAAAAAACCCCAACCCTTCAACAGTAATAATACAGAGTTAGATATCTGCAAACAGATCGGTTCCTGATTCCAAAGATATATAGTCGTGTTTTTCCTTTATGTGATAGGAGAAAAAGGGGGCTAGGCACAGAAATACACACTTTTTTTCTCCCAGGACATAAAAAGCCATCAGGTCATACATTTTCCATGCTCTTTTCTCCCAGTTTACAACAATGAAGAAACAAAAAGTAGACAAGAAATCACAGAGAAATTCAAGGCCAATTCTCTCTTTCCAAATTCAGCACTCTAGAATTCCACACTTACGAAGCATTACATGAGGTATGTCTGCACAAAATGGACAAGTCCTAAGGACCACAAGGATCACAAGATAACATTTTAGATGGTTTTTTGCCTGCAGAGGGGAGGCAGCAGTTTCTATTGATCTGCAGTGCTCTCATGGCCAGACTGATTCTCTATGGAACAAGCCAAAATTTCTTCCATAGCTCACAGGATGTTGTGCTAATACTCAATTTCACCCACTTTGCCTCTGGAGTGCTAAAAAAAAAATATTAAAAAAAAAAAATACAGTTTTGCGCTTCAGAAGCATCATCTTGCCTTCCAGTACTTCTTGCAGTTACTTCTGAAGTTAAAAAAGAGACAACACTTTAACACATTCCCTAGAAATGTGAAGGTTATATGCACTTAGGCTAGGTAAGCTTGAGGAGCGCAGGGCTTGAGCTTGTCACTTCTGAAATCGCAGGAGGGTTCATATGACCATAAACCTGCCACTGAAACTGATGGCGACAGCTCTGCTGCAAAGTAATCTTACTTTGAGAAAAAGTTTTGCAGAAGTGACAGTCTGAGGTTACAGTTAACTGAAATACAGTTAAAACTCAGGTCATTACAGAAATAAAGAGTTACTGTTTCTCATTTATCAGCCTTGCAAACTCTGCATGACCTTTCTAAGAACTAAGCTGTGTTCCAACCTACAATGTGTTGTTTTCAACCCTGGGCTGTGCAGATGAAGTCTTGAGGAAGAGGGTACTTCGAATGCAAGGCTCAAATACCGGTTTTAGTTGCTCTCTCTTCCTTGTCACCCCTGCAGCTCAGCTGACTAGCAACTGTCCATATTCACACTCTTAGGCCCATACTAACCACAAATCAATTCAGCTCACTTTGACGTACTTTTGAGATAAACTAAACAGAATTAGCTTACCCTTCTGCCAGAGCACACAATGAAAGGAGTTACCTCATCACAGGGGATGCAGAGTAATTAAGCAACTAATTCACTTTTATGTCTACATTCTTCCTAAATCATCTTGTTGGTGATTTACAATCTAAAATAGAACCCCAGCTCTTTCCCCCTTCGCAATACAGAGTCATTGGGGTAACAGGAACAGACAGATATAAACGGTAACTAAAAATTTTAAAAACATCAGAATTCTTAACAGCCAAAGAAAGCGGTTTTACTGAAAACCCTTGGACCATTTTTACAGTCACTTTTAACATTTAATTTTGAGGAGTTCTAAAACTAAGATTTCACTTTCCAGATAAACTATTTTTGCTAGTTGTCAATAAAACAGAAGACAAACATTCCTGAATGACAATGAGTGAATGAACGCTACTTATCAACGTAACCATAAAAACACCCTCTTAATGTCACAGTTGCAACAAACTAATGTTTTTCAGAATAATATTTCAACATGAAGCAGGAGAATCAATTCAGACACCACACACTGCCATACACAAATCCCTGCCTCAAGTCATGATCACCAGCCTAACTTCAACAAGACAAAAAAAAATTTTTACCAATTAAAAAATGTAAACTATTTTAAACATAAAAGGAAACAAAGGTGGGGGTTTTCTTAACTGCATCATACCAAGCAAGATGAATTCATGAAAATCATCTGGTTTGCACCTTTTGCATTTTCCCTATGAAAGCAAGCAGGTAGCCGTCCCTCACTGGCAAGTGTGACATGACATCAAGGACTCCTGGAGTGGCAGATTAGTCCCAAAACAACCTGGACTGCTACAAAACTAACGAAGTCTGGTTCCTCGTGGGTTTGTCTCTCATCCCTAATTACAAGGGCTGATTTAAGCTTTTCCTATGGCTGTAATATTTATAAGGGCTTCTTTTGATAGACTTTTTTCCATGTTACCTGGCTGTATTTTCATGAAATTTGGAAGAATTTAATTAGTTCAAAAGTTACTTGTGGGGACACCTGGGCACCATAAGCCTATGTCTTAGTTTTTTAGGAAGGCAGACTAAAAGCCACAGAGCTTACATAAACATTTTTTGCTTGTTTTTATGTCTTTCATTCTACCCAGGCAAGAAACAAACAAAGAAAAAATAACTGAATATGAAAAAAAAATCACGTTAAATTTGTGCAGTAACAAAAGAAAAAAACCTTCAAAATACAGCAAAGTAGATGAGCTCCACAGACTCAAAACCACATCTTTGTTACTAAGCAAGTAAAGTGATACTAGTTGAGAATTTTTTATTCACAGATTTTCTTCAGCTTTATTTTCATGAGAGACCTACTTAATAAAAGGCATTAAATATTTCAGAAGAAAATTCCTACCAGAATACTACTAACTCTTGATTCCATCAACAACCAGCACAGCCTCCGAGTCATCAAGCTGAAAGAAACAAACCACCACAGTAAAGGTAAAACCTTCAAGGCTCACTGATTTGTAAACCTTTACACATCAAAAAGAAACCAAAGAATTTGTTTTGAAGGACAAAGGGGAAGAAAAGGTAGAACAAGTTCTTTCTCCTCCTCCTCCTCTCTGCATTTCCTCTACATCTAGGAGAGCATTTTTGACCTTCACAGCAGCTCCAGCTCCAGAGACTGTGGAGTCTCTTCTGTGTTTTTTTCGGACCTCACAAGAAGAAAATGAACATGAAGATGAGAAAACTATTGTTTTGCACAGAATGCATAAAATCAGATTCTGAAGATAAAGTTATTGAACGCTAAAAGAACTTTCTTAGCACCCTGCTCCTCCAGGCCAGGTAAGTGTTTCCATCAGGCAGATTTAGACTTGTGTATAATAAAATTTCAGAGCGCTTCTCCAAATTTTTTTCAGGTAGCTTCACAAATTAACCAGCACCTTGGCGATGGAGAGCTTACCCTTGAAAGATTCACAGCTGACCATTAGGGGTCCGATTTCACTGGCACAGTAACCTTAATCGCTGTTACGTAAAAGCAGCAAAGTAGCCACTGAGGAAACAGTTCGGTAGGAGAGAAGTCAGAGGGCAGGCAGACTTCAAGGCATTCAAGACAAACCTAGGAGCTGCTTCCAAAAAGCTGTAATGCAGGATGACAGACTCGCTCTTCTAAATCCCTCGCAGGGTGGTCTGACCCCAGCAGCCGTAACAGCTGGATCTGGGTTTCGAGACCCCCTGTGACCCCGTACCTCAGCAGCGCAGGCTTTAGCCTACCTCCACACCACAGGAAAGCAGCTGACTTCCCCATCTGGCAGCAGCTGCCATTGAAAATGCTCCTCCTGCACCTGCTGCTGAGATCCAGGCAGTTGTTCCAGAGCGAAGCTGGAAGGGACAACTGCTGCTCCTAACACAGAGAGCCGGGCTGTTACTTCTGCAAAAGCCAGGATAGCAACAAACAGCTGTTGCTGACTCAAATACAGAGTCAGACTACTGTTGCCCCGACAGACAGTGGGTGGCAGTTGTTGCACAGAAGCTGGGAGCAAATGGTATTTGGCAGCAAGGCAGAATTTATTTCACCTGTGGCACCATTCCCCTTCTCGCCAAGGCAAAACGCAGCAGTCAAAAGCATCCAGACGACCACATTCAGCCTAACAGCCAGTAGCTAGATATGGAGGACTTAGAAGTCTGCCCCTCTCAACATTTTTGTTGAACAACTCTGTATTTCCTTTCACTACCAACAGTAGCTATATTTTCTCCAGTC